AATTCTACAAGTATTATGTTAATTGTGTAATTGTACACTCTTAAATCCGTCTGACCGTGTAGCTCTAGTAATTCGAAGGTCGCGGGTTCAAGACCCAGCCGCGGCAGACAACAACTTTCTGCTTGCGCTGGGTATGGAAATTATATCATACACATATGTATTATTATATGAATATTTTCATCTTAACATATTACAGAGTGTGCAATTACACAATTAACATATATATATATATATATATATATATATATATATATATATATATATATATATATATATATATATATATATATATATATATATTTATATATATATATTAACAGATTTTATTGATAAATATCGATAATCAATCGGTGAAAGGTCACAAAAAAATAAGCCATCGATTATTCATCGCTTTCCAATATCAATCGATTAATAAATATCGATTGGTATTGATTCCGGACAGTATTTATTAACAGGACCGCTATTGAGAATCAGCTGAGACTGCTTAGGGACTGGTCATTAATAATGGAAAGGGAGGGGGGCGGTGGATGAGATCGTAGTAGGGGACGGCTTCAACTATTTTTCCCTGAATTGGGGGCGACCTCAAACTGAAAAATATGTGACCAGGGGCGACCCCAATTTTTTAATACTTTCCCACTTATTTTCAACTTCTTGCCCTTATCGTATCCCACAAAATATTTCCACTTTTTCAGTTCCTATAATCGGAGTAAATAACAACCATTTTCAATATATCTGTCCATATGGAACCAGCTGGCTTTAGACTTCGTTAACTTTACAAATTTCAGATAAATTTGCCTGCCAGTATACGAGAACCTCACAGAATAGAAACCGACTTCTTGGTTTTGCGTATATATGATTTCCTATTTTGGCATAACCGTTGCAATGCTGTCATCTAGCTGTTCCTAGACACACAGAAGGTTGAGTTGACTCAGCTAAAAATGGCCACGCCACGAGCGCGCTTATATGCATGAGAGGCATTCACCCCCGCCGCCATTTCAAGCCAACGGTGGCTCTGGGTACGAAATTGTTCACCTGCCTAAAATATTCAAAAACTGGCAGACGTTCAGGGGGGGGGGGGTGAAAAATGTGAACCCAAATGTATTTTGATGACGAATTAATCATTGCGTGGTACAGTAATATTTTGATTTTTGATGGGATGACATCATTATCAGCCTGGATGAGCTGCCTGGCCTGATCTGCTTGACAACGCCAAATTAATCTTCGAGTTAAGCCCCGACCACGCCCAAACGCACCCGTCTCCTGATAATGTACTGAGTCTGAGTTAATGGACCCGCTGTTGGGCGGACAAGAATTGAAGAATTGCCTGCTAACTGTATGCGCATACTATGCAATTCACGCCTGGATTAGTTAAAAACTTGAAACTACGGATGTATTCGAAAACAAGCGACCACGCGTGCCTACAGTGTAAAGTACAAAATACACATCGGAATAATTTAAACACAGTAATGTTGGATGAAGTTTAAAAATGAAGAAATTCGGGGGTTTATAATATTACTATAATATTACTAGAAATACATGCATGCAGCAACCCCTCGCCCATTTTTCCCAAACATTAATTTAACATGAAGTATTAGTAATTGATCAACACTGAAGGCAGGCAGGCTCGCGTTTACGTCAGTGTTGCCATTGCAACACGATAATTTTAATTTTTATTATACTTTGTACAACACGGCAAAAATAGTAGTAACCAACACATAGATTTACTCAGGGACGCCGGAACGATCATAAGGCAAAGGGGGGCGGACCCACAGCAAGGGCACTTCACTAAAGCAAAACTTCAAAATCTTCCGAAATTTATTTTTTTTATCAAAAAATTTTGGCGACCTCTACACCAGTCAATGCTCAATACTGAATGCCCTACCTCAACGTCCAGCTCTCCTTTAACTAATACTGGAAATCGCCCGCTCAATAGTAGCAGCAGAAGAGGAAAGTGACATGCAACACAGGATATACAGAAGATGCAGATAGAAATTTTGAAATGAAAGGAAGAAAAAAATTGCATTAGAAGTGGAAAACATGAAGCTAAAATACAAAACACTGAAAATTGAAATGCAACAATTAGAAGTAACCCTAAATTTGAATTGAAGGTTGAATAAATTATAACTTACAAGAGTATACTGTATATGGTACTCCTTCAAAATAATGTACTTTACTATTTCAACTTTTGATCACTGTAGTATGTCCTGGACTATGGTTCACACAAAAGGGGGAGAATCACATATAATAGGTTTGTAGGCCCGTAAGATAAATAGAAGATAACGCACGGTACGGGTGCGAGAAGATATGGATTTTAATGTAAATATTTACATAGCGCGCGAAGCATCACGATTGACTGTGATTCTTTAAAACTATTTAAACTTGTCAACAATAGTAACGCCTTACCCAAAGTAGATTTATTAATACAGAACTGTAACCACCAAGAGATAAATGTGACCCCTGTTATTTCCATAGCCTCCTCCGCAGGCAACTTTGGTATTCTTAAACTGAATACCACAAAGATGTCATACAAATAACCGAAATAAAATACAATAATAAATAACTGGGTTACGTGTGAATATTGTGGTGATAGTTATAGTGATACAGGACAAAGGGATAATAGCAGGAACAAAAACGGAAAAAGGCGGAAGGGAGATCGCCTTCCAAAAATATACTGGTTGGACGCGACTCTTCACCTTGCTGGACCGGACCATTCACCGGGGCTAGGCAGTGGCCTATGTGGTTTGAAATCAATTGTTTTTATGGTATGTGAACACGAATATATGAATATGTGCTCCCCCAATTATCGTTCTGGCTACGCCACTGGGGCTAGGGTAGGAAATTTTTGTTTTTGCATGCTTTATGCTTATAATTTTCTGCGGAAACAACATGGAGGTCGAACAAAGTGCTTCGATATTCTAGAACGTATCTTGCCGTTTGTAGTCTAGAATTATATAAGAAAATTATTAGAAATATAAGAAGCATGGACTGGAATGCCAAAAAAGTTATCTTGGCCAAACAGCCACAGCTACAAACATGGGAAATTTGAAGAGGTCGACTTCTTGACCGCATAGTCTGAGAGAACAAGAGACTAAGAAAGTTATATATACTTCTGGAGGAACCAATTTTGGATAAACCTGAACCAACATATTAAGTTATGCCGTACTGAGTTTCCAAACCATATATTCCATTAATTAACCGTGCTTTTACGAACTTCCGTTGCAATGTCATTAAAAGTTACTTCAGGGTTCTTGTGGCCTTACTCTAGCGGTCAGCAACTGTGTTGATCTTCCATTTTTTACATTTCCAATTACGTTTACAGCCTGCAGAACTGTTAAAGTGCGAGATGTCCAAAAACAGATGACAGCAGAGACAAACTTGGTGAAACAAAGTTTCGAAATACAAAAAAACTCAATAATCCTTTTAAACTTTACAAAAATGCAAAGTTATCATAGATACGAGCTTTGAAATAAAGATAAATAATATAAATGATATCTTCACGTAATTTATAATTATAAATAATATTAAAATGCTCATTAATAATTCACATGAGCCATAATGATATGTCACGTGGAGTGATTTTATATCTGATAAAACACATGTGGCATTATATATAATTCTTCATCCTAATTAGTATATTCATATAAAATGCTAATGAGATGGCATCTTTTGTATTCGTATTTTAGCTGTTCAAAAACACTCGTTGTCGTGTTTTATCAGATATAAAACACTCGGCTGCGCCTCGCCTTTTATATCTGATAAAACACTATGTTTTAAATAGTACTAGGCCTAATATTGCGAAATGCGCAAGTTTAAATATTTTAAGCGGAAATAACGTTTACTCTTTCCTTCTGTTCAAGTGATGTAAAGATATAGTATTAGTTTATTTATTCAGTTTTCGGCTAATCAATTTATCAACAAATTTTCTTGGCGCAAGTTTCCCAATACTTGTCTGAGAACTAGTGTATATTTGAGCCTTAGGTCTGTTTCAGTTGTGTGGCAGTAGTGGCATCAAGCAATGTACAGCTTTATGCAAATATAATAAACAGAAAAATAAATCTCACTCGTTCGCTGCGCTCACTCGTGAGATATCCTGTTCAACACTCGAAATAAATCTGGTATTTCCGCGCACCCATATATTATTCTCTATATAATGTAAATAATTCGAGAATTAAGTGCTTGCCCAATCATCACCTAAGATAAAGGTTATGTTAGAAGTGCTTGAAAATTAATACCTGCCCTAACAGTTAGTTTTTATTGCGGGAAGAAAACTGGAGAACTCGTCGAGAAAAACTTTCGAATTGCACAGGAAAGAGCCAACTAAAATTTACTTGCATGAATTTTCAAGCACGAGGTTACAAGATTATCAATCCAAGTAAAAATCCCTCCCTCGACTTGTAGTATCAACTGCCCAGCGGGCAAAATGACGTTTATCCAACGTTGAATCAACGTTGGAAATGACCTTCCAGACGTTGGATAGACGTTGAAAAGGGGTTGACTATGCAAATTGGATCGACGTTACTGTTTCGACGTTGAAACAACGTTGAAATTAGGTTGCCAATCTCGTCGACCATAATTCAACGATGAATCCACGTTAAAACAACGTTGAGATTGGTTCACAAATCGACGTCGTACATTTAACCATGAATGAACGTTAATTCAACGTCTGTTGGCTGCTGTTGAACCAATGTTTGTAAAACAACGTCAGAGCAACGTAGATATTAGGTTGTCGACGTCGCAACCTTTTTTCTACCCAATTTCAACGTTGAAACAACGTCGTGTGCCCGGTGGGTGGTTCACCCAAGTAAAGGAAATCAGAAGTAAAGTGCAGCGTGCTAAAGCTTCATCGATATTGACAGAACCCCCCCCTTCTCACACTACACTTTTTTCAAGACAGTTCCCTGCCATTTTTGAGAACTCTAAAATATATTATGTAGGTCTAAATTTTTGAACAATTATTACTTGTAAATTAAATAGCATTCAGAAACAAAGAAAAAACTGTACAATCATTTCGCTACGCGCTCAGTGTGAAACAGCCGATTTTAGTTACTTATTTTAAAGCCTAGTTTCTATTTCGTCGCTACCTCTCGCAGGCTGTCGCTACCTTTTCAAGTGACCGATGTAATATAGTGTCAATATATCTCTGAGATCGTCAGAAAAGTGACTGATTTGCATACAGCACACAAAGGACAAGATAGATTTAGACTATTTCACATCTATACCACTTGTTGTGGTGGCGAGAGCTAGGACTAGGTACGTAACGATCAAATTGAAATCAGGTCTAATTATGCCATACTACTTTATAATGGCTGGAAACGTATCAACTAATCAATCAATCAGCTTTATTTCAGGACTGCAAAAACAATTTACAGCCGAAGACTTACACACCTGTAATTAATATCACTAAGATTATCATATGAAAACTATATTACGATCTAAATCTAATTTGTATATGAGCATGAATCTCAATAAACTATAACCTAATTTAAAATTAGCAAAATCTCTATTTTCAGTTCAGACAAAAAGGTACGATTATTTCTTTGGTATAATAATAATGAGTAAAGTTAGGAAGGACTGCCGATACCAGGAAGAATTTACCCCCTCCAATTTTTGGTTGTATTTGGGGCAAAAACGGTCGTCCATTATCAGTAAACTTTACACAAATTAAACTACTGCATTATTTTTCCTCTCCCAACCTGCACGGATTTCTCCTACTTTGTTTGCCAGGCAAGGCGTCAGCAGGACTAGTCGAAGAAGGAGCGTAATGTAGCCAATAATTACAACCAAGACAGTAGGGTAGAAAAAGTGCTTGGCTTTCCATTCGGGGAGACCATCGTAAGCAAAGATAGTGAAATGAAGCAAAGCACAGAGCAGAGCAAAGTAACCCAGACCTGACTGCACGAAATTCCACTCACGCCAACTCATTCGGTTCAACACTGTCGGTAATGACGTCACTCCCAGAATGCATAGCGAGGTCAGCGCCAGAACTCCAAGGCTAAGAAAGGCCTCTCCTTGTGCGAACATCTTCTTGTATTCAACCAAAGAAACGTTGGCTAAAATGATAACAATAATAATATTTTAATATTTATATTGCACAAATTAGCATAACATTTTCGGGCCCGCAATAATTGGCAATTACGCCGTTGCGGATTCCTTGCCACTGTAATATGTACTAGGCGAATTAAATAAATAAAGAAATAAATAAGGATATGATCAAATAAAATTGGAATTCAATTGAAATTTTAAATAATCCATCTACAGCATTAAAAGTGCAATGGATATAAAATTATTAAATAAAATGTTACAAAACTTCTAAAATTGTTTCAAACTGTATAAAAGTTTAAGAGAATAAATAATGTGAGTGTGGTGGACTTAGGATTACGTCATATTATTATTTCAATTATTTATAGCATCTAGCCATGACAGAGGTATATTATTCATCGTACTATTTTTTCGTATTGGTTGAAAGCCTACAGATAATTTTCCGTATCTCGGTGCAGACATGGACATGATAAATAAATCGTATCTGCATGTGAACATAACAAATAAATATCGTATCTGTAGGTGCCTGCGTATTTTTGCAGCGGTATTTTGTACGAATTGGAAAAGAGCGGAAAATTTTGTAAAATTATTTTGTTTTGACAATGGCTTCTGCTGCGTCTGCTCGTTTTGGTTTCAACTTGATTGTTCTTGTTACAGAATTAATAATAAACAAATTATTGAATCCGGCTTACGCAGGATGTCAGAATTATTCAGACCTCGGTCAGCATTATCTGCCTCAGCTTCGCTTCGGCAGATATAATGCTAATCTCGATCTGAAAAATTTTGATATCCTGCTCAGCCTCATCCAATAATTTTTAAATGTTTTTCTGTTTTTGATGAAATGGAGTACTTGCCTACTGTTATTGAGGATTTTTGGTAAAGACGGCTCTTGTATTCGGGCGACCAGTACAACGTGGACATACACCCGTGCATGCCGGCCAAGATCAACGCAATCAATCCGAGTTGCTTCCGAGATTTCATCCAGAGGTCAAGCCAGCGCGGAAATCGTCTGTACTTAGTGCCATACGCAAGTTGCAGCAAGGCCGCAATGATTCCCGGGATGTAGACCATATCTAAGACGCCAATGACGGAAAATGCGTTCATGAGACTGAACCTAAGAACAATAAGGATTTGGAATATTTACCCATACCATTAAGATCAAAAGAATAAAATAGTTTGGCTAAAATTGTTTGCTTCGTGTCGTTATTCTGTAGAGAAAACAGAAATTGGAGTAAGCTCATCATCATCATCATCATCATCATCATCATCATCATCATCATCATCATCATCATCATCATCATCATCATCATCATCATCATCATCATCATCATCATCATCATCATCATCATCATCATCATCATCATCACCATCATCATCATCATCATCATCATCGTCATCGTCATCACCACCACCACCATCATCGTCATCATCACTATCATCACCACCATCATCATCATTACCTTATCATCATCATTATTGTTGCCATCATCATCACCATCATCATTATTACCATTATTATTATTATTATTATCATCATTATTATCATCCTCCTCGTCGTCAGTTTCCCTTTGTGAAGTCTTAGTTCTCCTTAAGGTGTTTCCCATTTATGTCTTGGTAGGGGGAATCCTACCACGGCATTTGCATACAGTCGTGTACTCTATATGTCAGTATTGTGTTATAATCTTCGGAAAAGCAAATAGATAAATAAAATAATGTGAATAACCTCTTTAATGGGAAGTCTGTAAATTCCTCTTTCTTGATAACTCGCTTCAGAACAAAGTACAGGACCATGATAAGGTACAAAACACCAAACATGCCAAGGGCGACACGCCAGCTCGGGAATAATTCCAAAGGCTTGTTTTCGATTATTGGAGCCATTTTCAGGGAACCTTTGTCAAAGGGTTCAAGCTGTATAGCTCTGGCCATTTTCATCACCTAAATTTCCAGAATTAAAGTGCAACAATTCGCCATAATAAAAAAAGGATGGCGGCATGTCGATCTTGAAACTAATTCCTTTTAAATCGGCCACGATACGATAAAGGTTTGTAATTAAATGTTTGACATGTCCATTGAACGAAGTATAACTAGAACGCTAACTTTAGATAGACGCACCTATGTTAACCTGAAACCATATTTTACCTCCAGACACGCATGGGAATCCTGACACAAAAGACAAACATGCATGATGAATTCCTTCAGATGTCTGGTTGTCAAACATGCGTGTCTGGAGATAAAATTTGACTTCAAATTTTCAGCAGAAAACAGCGCTCCAGGCATTTTCAGTTTCAATAGATATGTTCCATCAATTTAGCTAAAATGTGTCTTTCTTCTAATGAGCTTTGTTGTTCGTGTGCAGTCCTATTTTTTGTCAACATATGCATATTTCTTCGCAAGACAAAACATAGTAACACGTCGATTTCAACATGCTATTTCGCGGAAAAAATATATCTTTAATAGAAATTATTGCATTCATAATACTACAGCAGACACAATAGTTTCAGCGTCAAAAAGTAACCACTATTCACCATAAATTGATTTTATATGTTAAATATTTTTAAATACTAACAATGTAATTATACAAGTTTTGATATTAAGTTTCTTTATACTAACATACCATTTAATGAAACTATTGATATAATTATTCAAGTGTGTCATAACGTCGTTCGATTAATGTGGTTTAAACGTGTTATTATCATCAACAAAAGAAATTATTAACAAAAATATAAATAAAACATTGTATAGCAGTTCACTACAGCTGTTTACTAGCCCAAAATCCCGTACGAATAGCCCTTTGCACGTGTCCTTTTAAATGACGTCATTATACCGGAAGTTCCTCACAATCCCGAAGATATCATGAGTTAAAGAAATGATATAAACTACCAACAAATAAAAATATTAATTAGTCCCAAATGTCAACAATGTTTCGGCATGTCCTTTCTTGTAGCCTCACAAATTGCAGCTGCCTTGTGCTTCGGTCTCCCTTCGTTCGTAGGAAGCTCGCAGCCTCGTCCCCAGGCTGCAACTCAGACGGCGCGGGTTCCGACGGGAAGCTCGTTCACTCCAGCTTGATCCATTGCCCCACTTGCTCAACTCGACTAGCAATTGCAATTGGGCATTGTCCTTTCACGATGTTGAATGTAATCCAGTGGAATTAGATATCGAATTGGACGTCTTAAGTGGCAGTCCCGCTAAGAGCGGTCCGATGACTTTGACTTCGGAAAATAGATTTCCTTTATTTTTTGTGTGTTGAAAGGCATTGGTATACAAGTGTCCAAAATAAATTTATTTTTTAAAAATTCTTTTTTATGGCTTCGCTTGACGCCGAAACTCATTTCACCCGTGCAGAGCTAATTTCAAGCAAAATCGAAGGTTGAATTTCGGTAAATTGTAGAGCCGCGCTGTTTCAAAACGCCTGACTATTTCCAAATTTCAACTAGATCAACAAGTTAAGACACAATTCAGGTTCCCTGTTTCAAAAAATAAGAGCATTTGAATAAATTGTGAATAAACGACAGCGACTTGACGGCACACCGGTTTTTGCTTCTTGTTCGGTCTAGAAAATTACACTAAAATCGAAGCCTGATATCTCCAAATGGGGACCTAAAATTACGCTGAAATGTGCTTGGCTGTAATGATTTATACTTATTTTCAGAAGATCTGAAGAAAAACCTGCGGGTATCAATCTGTATTTGGCGCGAGTTAAGATTTTCTGGAGCCCATAATCAATGATTTTTGCATAATTTATAGCTAATTAACATATTTCTTGAGAGGCGCTAAAAGTAAACAATTTCTTTCTGACTGACATATCTCAGATGAAAGAAACTGCCACAGCTAGTAATACCCTTTTTGTAAATATAGTCGTAATGTGCTTTTCCTGACACGCTGAGAGAGCTTTGTTTTTGAATGTTATACCACATTTATTCAGTCTGACCAGATTCATATAAATGTCACGAACTTGTATATTTCAAAAATATACCACAAATCAGAATTCAGAAAGACCGATTATTCTTTCATTGATTCAGTTGATTGATTTAGTTGATTGATTTAAAAAACTATAAGTATAATGGAACATTTCAAGTGTTTCCATTGCCCCTATATAGGCCTAGAATTTTTATCAATATGTTCTATTTTTCTGTGGCGACGGCATATTAACAAAATACGACACAAAAATGTACATTCGAATTTATGACCGACATATCAGAATGTTATTTATGAAGTTTGAATTGAATTTACTTAACGCGAAATAACTACTAAAATAGGAATTTTCTATGCCGGGTTAGTAAAAGAAAAAGCATAATTTTAATTGTATGTAATTTCGATGAATACTATATTTAAAAAAATTATACGCATTGTTTATATAAATTAGCTAACATTTTTAACAAAAATATCAATTTTATAAATCATCGAATTTCAATATTTTTCTTTGAAAAAAAAATATTTTCGTGAGCTCCATAGCTGAGAATAAATTTCAAAAGTTTGTGAATTAAAATTCACAAGACACAAGTTTGATATTTTTGTTAAATAACTGATCAGAATGCTTATAGTTTATTTTGTTACATGGCTAAAACAAACGTCGCTACTATCGTAATAAATGTGTAAATGTTAGCTAATTTATATAAACAATGTGTATAATTTTTTTAATAGTATTCATCGAAATTACATACAATTAAAATTATGCTTTTTCTTTTACTAACCCAGCATAGAAAATTCCTATTTTAGTATTTATTTCGCGTTAAGTAAATGCAATTCAAACTTCATAAATAACATTCTGATATGTCGGTCATAAATTCGAATGTACATTTTTGTGTCGTATTTTGTTAATATGCCGTCGCCACAGAAAAATAGAACATATTGATAAAAATTCTAGCCCTATATAGGGGTAATGGAAACACATGGAATGTTCTATTATACTTATAGTT